ATGTATGTATGTATGTATGTATGTATGTATGTATGGTACAACATAATAATGCTTCTTCTGTTATGTACAAAATGTTTCCTCTACAATTATTGGGCAAACCAGACACTATGTTTTTGCTTTTTATAAATAGGATATCAAAAGTATAATTAACCTTTATTTAACCAGGCAAATCCCACTGACAGCACCATTCACAGATCYAGGCCTGAAGGCAACCAAGTATGCATGCTTTTGATCTTTGATCAGGTATACAGAATATGTCACAAAATCTTAAGCTAACATAAAACACTTTTGACTGAAAACTTTWGGATCTTCAATTGGAGAAAATATGTTTTGTTTGTCTGACAAGGTTTAAATCTGCAACATTAKTTCGTACAATCAGTCGGCCATTGCAGTGAAAACTCTCTTCATAAACTGGCACAAATCAGGGAGATATCTTGAGTGCTCTCACATCGCTCTGGTAAATAGTGTGAGGAGATGGGTAACCTTGCTTTGCATGAAAACATTAAGCACAGGGAAACGGCTCAGCAGGTCATGACTTAATATTTTATATCYTGCAATTTAAATTGCTCCCATAAAYGAAAACATATACAGYAAATAACAAATTGTATGCTGGGAAGCTGCAATGCATTTGTTCCCATGGGCTGCAGCAAACATTATTTCAGAAATAAGCCATGTTTTTTTTATTCCCGTTCAAATGGGCATTAATACAAATATCAGTCATACTTATATTTAATGGTTACACAACTTTACAGTCTAAACTCACAGTTGCTGTCCATTCTGTGCAAACATTTAAAGATGCATACATTACACTAAAAGATAATTACTCCTTCCGACCATTCATTTGATAATTTTAGGTACAAAATTACTATAATCAAGTGTAATCTTCAAAGCCTTATTTTTTAATCTGGTATATAATTTTAGCAAAATTCAACTCCTCTTTGAAGCATTTCTTCCTAGTTTCTTTTCACTCTGCAGCTTCCTTTCAAACAGAAAACCCCCCACCTAATATTGTTGCTCATAACTTTTATTCAGGTATAATTTCCCCTGCAGTGGAGGCATCCTGCTCATCTCTGCTGCAGCCCGGGTTCATGTTTAGGTTGATGATTTTCACCTAAAACTCTTGACGTTTCCTGCAGTGCTCCCCCGTCTGCCTCTCTGCTTCCCTCTCTAACTCGTGATGAAATGAGGGAGGGGATAAAATAGGAGTTTAGTCTGGGAGTGCTGCATGGTGAATAACAGTATAAGTTTGACTTTTTYCCCCCCTTTTTGTTTAGGTGGGCCTTCACGCTCATAATCATCTCGTCCTACACGGCCAACCTGGCAGCGTTTCTAACTGTCCAGAGAATGGAGGCRCCCATCGAGTCTGCTGACGACCTGGCCGACCAGACCAACATCCAGTACGGCACGATTCATGGAGGATCCACCATGACCTTCTTCATGGTCAGACTGGAGGAGAGCTTTTAATATATCCTTTTTTTTTCAAAAAAAAATAAAATAAAAATATAACGACGGTTTGACGAGCAAGAAAATAATCAACAGCATTTTTGTAGTTTGCACTGATGGAAATTCAGGATTAGCACTGGTGGACCTATTATTATCATCTCGCCTACTTCAATAGCTAAAGTACAACATTAACAGTTTGGTTTCATTGATTTATCATATTATGTACCATTCTGCTGCAGTGGTTCATTATGTTTAACAAGAGTTCATAAAAAAACACTAGTTTTCTGTCCCCAGCTGATTAGTCAAAAACTTATCAGGATATACCAGTAAATTAAATCTGAAATTTTTAACAGAAATGATTCACCGTTTTATGTTATTTTATAATATATATATA